AAGGGCGGCGGAGCCGCCTGCTCGGGGGTCGGGGCGCAGCTGCTGGAGGTAGCGTCTGAGTCATGCTGTATAGTCAAGTTGTGTCGCCCAGCTGCCGCGTGGCGTTCACCTGAGCCGTTCTGTTTTTTATTTTCCCTACCCTAGGTTCACGCAAAGAATCTGCTCCACAAGTTTTGCTTCCAGAAGAAGAGAAAATTATAGTGGAAGAAACTAAAAGTAACGGCCACGGTGATGGAAGAGAAGTAAGACGTCTCCGCGTTCCCAGCCCATGCGGCTCGGGGGCGGAGGGCCAGTGCGGGCTGGGCTGGGGGCGGTGGGCCAGTGCCGCAGGGGGCTGGGGGCCGAGGGCCAGTGCGGGCTGGGCTGGGGGGCGGAGGGCCAGTGCCGGCAGGGGGCTGGGGGCCGAGGGCCAGTGCGGGCTGGGGCTGGGGGCGGTGGGCCAGTGCCGGCAGGGGCTGGGGGCCGAGGGCCAGTGCGGGCTGGGGCTGGGGGGCGGTGGGCCAGTGCCGGCAGGGGGCTGGGGGCGGAGGGCCAGTGCGGGCTGGGGCTGGGGAGGTGGGCCAGTGCCGGCAGGGGCTGGGGGCCGAGGGCCAGTGCGGGCTGGGGCTGGGGGGCGGAGGGCCAGTGCCGGCAGGGGCTGGGGGGCCGAGGGCCAGTGCGGGCTGGGGGGGGGCGGTGGGCCAGTGCCGCAGGGGGCTGGGGGGCGGAGGGCCAGTGCGGGCTGGGGCTGGGGGGCGGTGGGCCAGTGCCGGCAGGGGGCTGGGGGGCCGAGGGCCAGTGCGGGCTGGGGCTGGGGGGCGGTGGGCCAGTGCCGGCAGGGGGCTGGGGGGGCGGAGGGCCAGTGCGGGCTGGGGCTGGGGGGCGGTGGGCCAGTGCCGGCAGGGGGCTGGGGGGCCGAGGGCCAGTGTGGGCTGGGGCTTGGGGGGCGGAGGGCCAGTGCTGGCAGGGGGCTGGGGGGCCGAGGGCCAGTGCGGGGCTGGGGCTGGGGGGCAAAGGGCCAGTGTGGGCAGGGGCTGGGGGGCAAAGGGCCAGTGCGGGCTGGGGCTGGGGGGCAAAGGGCCAGTGTGGGCAGGGGCTGGGGGGCAAAGGGCCAGTGTGGGCAGGGGCTGGGGGGCGGAGGGCAGTGCGGGCAGGGGCTGGGGCGCCGAGGGCCAGTGCTGGCAGGGGGCTGGGGGGCAGAGGGCCAGTGCGGGCCGGGTGCTGGAGGGGTCTCCCCAGGCCTCTGCCCCCCCAGCCAGGCTGATGTCCTCATTCTTCTTCTGTCACAGGAGCCTGGTGGACACTGTGTACGCGTTGAAGGATGAAGTCCAAGAACTGAGACAGGTATGTCACTGTTGGTTTCGTGTGCGCACACATGTGTGTGTGTGTGTGTGTTCAATGGGAAAAAAAGGAAAAGCCCTCTGCAGATTAAAAAAAGGACCACGAGGAGATGGTGTCTGTCGCATCCGACCAGTGCAGCGGTGGCTCTGGACGTGTGCTGGGCCCGGTGGGAGCTGGGGCGTGGCCTGTGGGGACACTTTTGAGCCGAGGTCTGTGCTGTCGGAAGCCATCTGTTGGGATAATTTAGAACTCAGATCCTGCCCCCGAAAACTCCATGAGGTCCCTGATTCGTCTGTGCGGGCACATGGGCCAGTCAGCAGCATGTGTCACACTGGCCAGGGGTGGTATTGATGTGTATATGTGTGGTGTGTGCATGTGTACACATGTGTGCGCGTGTGTGGTGTGTACATGAGTGGGGTGTGTGATGTGCATGTGTGGGGTGTGTGCATGTGTGGTCTGTGGTGTGTGTTCACGTGTGGTGTTTTCACATGTATGGTGCCTGCACGTGTGTGGTCTCTGTGTGGTGTGTGCAGCGTGCACATGTGTGCATGTGTGTACATGTGTGTACATGTGTGTGAATGTGGCATGTACACGTGTGGTCTGCGTGTGTGGCCTGTGTTCACACGCGTGTGGTCTGAATGTGTGCATGTGTGTACATGTGGTTGTGTGTGGTCTCTGGTGTGTTCACACGTGTGTGGTCTGAACATGTGTGCATGTGTGTACATGTGGTTGTGTGGTCTCTGATGTGTTCACATGTGTGTGCATGCATGCGCTGTGTGCACATGTGTGTGCATGTGTGGTCTCTGTGTGTACGTGTGTGCATTTGATGTGTGCACAGGCCTGGTTCCCTGCAGAACCTGGAGAGGGAGGGGTAGGGGAGGTGAAGGCGGCAGCGACGCCGGGGCCGGGGTACAGGGTCCCTGTGGTCAGCCGTTCCCAGGGACGTCCATGGCATTCCCGGCCGCTCCCCGCCCGGTGTGACCCGGCAGGTCTCAGCCCCAGCATCCGGCCCAGCTCTGTGTGCTCCAGGCGCGTTTCAGTGCCGCGTGGGGCCCAGCTTAGCCGCACAGGCGGGCTCGTGGCCGCCCCTGCCCCTCGTGTTGGTGACTGAGGGCCTTGTCCTCGGGGGGTGCCGGGGCCAGAGCTGTCCACCACATCGTCGTGCTGCGTGGACTAGGCCTCGGGCAGCCCCGGCTGGGTTTCAACTGCCGAGGCCCCGGTCCCCGGTCCCGCGTGCGGGGTAGGGCAGCCCCGGCCGGGTTTCACCCGCCGAGGCCCCGGCCCCGAGCGTGCGGCTGGTGGCTGAGGCTGAGCGCTGTGGTGTGCCCGGCCCCCAGGACAACAAGAAGATGAAGAAGTCCCTGGAGGAGGAGCAGCGGGCCCGCCGGGACCTGGAGAAGCTGGTGCGCAAGGTGCTGAAGACACTAAACGACCCGGCCTGGGACGAGACCAACCTCTGAGGGCCGGCCGCAGCGGGCCACACTCGGGAGGTGCAGGCGCCCAGGGCCCCCGGCACCGCCTCCTGCCGCACTCGGGAGGCGCAGGCGCCCAGGGCCCCCGGCACCGCCTCCTGCCGTAAGTGCAGAACCAGTGCAGAGCCCGGCTTCCCAGACTGTTGGGATGTGACGGACACGCGTGCCCTGCACCTCCTGCCCCCGACCGCGGACCTGCGTGCTGCGACTCCCTCCCCACACGCCTTCCTGGCGGCCTGCACCCCTGCCGTGCGCCCACAGCCTGACCTCAGACCCTGTGCGCAGGCGCTGCAAGCCCGCGGAGCGGCCGCCCAGAGACCCGGCCCCCACGCCCCGTGGGCTCCCGGGCTCTTCTGTGGCCGGTCTGACCACTCCACGCTGCACGGTTCCATCCTACCCCGAGAGTTCCAGCACTTGTAAATAGAATGTGTTATTTATTGTGGCCCCAGCAGAGGGAGGCAGCCGGCCTGGCCGCGACGCTGGGAGCTGCTCCCAAGGGCGGGCTCTCCCTCCGGGCTGACTGGGCACAGCCCCGCCCGTGCGAGCCGTCCCCTCGGCAGAAGCAAAGCAATACACAGCCCAGTGCGGCTCAGTGACTGCAGCCCAGAGGCCCCACCGGGGCGGGCAGGGCAGGGAGCCGGCCTCGCCCAGCTCTGCGGGCCTTGGGCCTGGGAGGCTGTGGGCGCTCCCGGCCGGCTGTCCCCTCTCCCTTGGCAATAAGCAGTGGTGACCCAGGGCCTGGCCGGCCTTTCCCTCCTGTGTCGGAGATGACGGAACCTCCCGCAGAGCAGTTGTCGTGTCTCTAGAGACCTGTGTGACAGCGGACGAGACCGCGTGACTGCGCCTGCTGAGCCCTGCCTTTGACCCGGCAGCCTGGGGGTTGGTTCTGTCCCCGCACCCCTGCTGACGAGGGCACCTTCTCCTGCCCCAGCCCTGCGGCTGCGCGGCCCCTAACCCGAGTCGCCAGCGCTCTGTGTTGGCGTTTTCTACCTGTCTGTCTTGTCTTTTGGTGAGCTGCTCTCCCAAGCGGCTTTCTGGTGTTGCCCAGGACGTGCGGCAGAGGCGGGGGCTGTGTGCCGGCAGAGCCGCTGTGCCCAGCAGGCGTTAACTCAGGAACAACTGCCCCGCCCCCCGTGCCTCTGCCAGCCGTCAGCTGTGGTCTGTGGCCGGGGTGGGCCCCTCCAGAGCCTGCCTTAACCGGGGAGGAGGGCCGGTCCGTGTAAAGCCTCCCCTGAGCTGAGCCGCGCTCACCGTGGCGGCCGTGGGCCCAGCGCCTCCTGGATCAGAGACGGGTCTGCAGGGAGGGCTGCCCTCTGGTGCGCGGCCCTGTGCCTGTCGCCCAGTGACCTCCGGAAGGGGAGGAGCTGGCGTGGACGGGCAGGGGTGTGTGGCCCACAGCTGTCCCTGCGGCAAGTGAGGCCGGGCGGGCGTCTCTCCCTGCACGTGGGAAGCACTTCCTCTTGGAACCGGCGTAGAGATGTAGCATCCGGGACTTGCCGGGCCCCGGGCACCTGCCTGGGCTTGTCCTGGACTCTGTCCATGCCAATCATTCTCTCCACCTCGGGGACCTTGGACGGCATGGAGCAGCCCCTCCTTGCTGTCACAGACCATGTCCTGGTGTCGACTGCTACAGTGTTCGCGCTGCGTTGTTGGAATCATTAAACTCGTTATTTTTCTTAAGTCACAAAACGGTCCTCTCGGTTGTCTTTGGCGAGTCTGACGCGTGTGTGCCGCCCTCGCTGTTGCCGTTGGCTTTTTGAGATCTGGAAGCTCCGGTGTGGGTTTTGATGCCAGAGAGATACCGCTGCCGTCTGAGAGTGTGGACGGGAGACTGGGAGACGGTGGACGTCCAGGCGGCTGGGCCTTCGCGGGGGTGGCTGGGAGACGGAGGACCGTTGCTCGGGTGCCGGTCATTCGGCCAGGGCGAGGTCCTTCCTGAACGGTGAGCGGCTGCAGTGCCGCCCTGCGCCCGGGGTGGCCCAGAAAACCCTGTCCTGCAGGGCCCTCGCTGCCGGGGCCGTCATCCTGGAACATGGGCATCGGCAGGGGGCTCGGGAAGTGCTGTGGGGATGCCTCTGCCGGCCTGGAGGGGCGTGTGTCGCCGGCCGGTCTTCAGACGACACTGCCGCTTGCGTCTTTCCCGGCGTCCAGGGGCCGGCAGCCACGTTCCCCCAGGTGCAGCAGCGAGGCCCAGGTGGGCCGAGAGCCCGGGCCAGCCCGGTCCTGGTGTCGGCCTGGGTGTGCTGGTGATGGAGGCGCGGGGAAGGATGGCCACGGGGACCCGGGGCCCTGCGAGGTCTCTCTGTTCCCCGGGCCTGGCCAGGTGCCCTGGGGACCGTCTCATCGCCAGCCCACAGGAGGCCAGCGCGGAAACTCGGAGGTTCCATGGTGTCAGGCACGCGAGCGGTCGTCTGGGTTGTGTGCTGGTGAGGTGTCCAGCGGCTGGGCCTTGATCTTCCTGCTCGTGGAGAAGACCGGGACGTCCCACGAGGATGGAGAAACTGCTGTCACCCCCGAGCCTTGTCCTCACCCTGCAGGGGCCGCCGGTGCCGAGCGAGCGAGTGCCGTGGCCTGGCGTGTGCGTGTGCTTGCATGTGTGTACACGTGTGTGTGTGGGTGCGTGTGCGCGAGGCGTCTGCACCGCAGGCGTGGCCGTGTTGGGCCCTTCCGTGCTCACTCCCTGTGGGACTGGCTCGGTGGCTCTGAGAGGGACGGCCGCTGTTGCAGAAACGCACTCTGACCACCCTGAACACGCAACCCCAGGTGTGCCGGCCTGTGGCTCGGGGTTTCGTCACCGCTCGGGACATCCGGGCCCCATATTGGGCGAGTGGTGCAGGTCCCGGCTGCTCCTGAGCCAGTGTCCTGTGAGTGCGGCTGGGAAGCCGTGGAGGGTGGCCCAGGGGCCTAGGCCCTGCCCCCACGCAGGAGACCAGGGTGGGGCTCCAGGCTCCCAGCTTCAGCCTGGCCCGGCCCTGGCCGCTGTGGGCCTCGGGGGAATGAGCCGGCAGGTGGGAACTCTCTCTGCCTTTCAGATAAAATGGAAACAAATAAAAAAAGTGAAAGGCCTGTGTAACCGTGAGACCGTAGCTGCATGGTTACTTCCAGAAACGTCTGCATTCTGATTCCGAGACGCTGCTTTAGGAGCCACGTCCTGGACAGTCCAGGTGCTCGGAGACGGGGACATCCCGGGGTCGTTCAGAGACTCTGAGAGGAAATGGAACTGAAAATGCTGCTTTTGTTGCAAAAAAGTTGAAATCCTTTAGGGTTTTCACAAGAACCTGTTTTTGATGAAGTTTTCCGAAGACCTCTCTTACGCATGGATTGCAACATCACCTGCACCAAAACCAAGTTTTAGCTCCGCGTCCCAGGAACTCTGCACTGCCCTGTAGGCGCGGCCCGAGGCGTCCTGCTCTGCCGCTCGCTCGGGCTGGCGCCGTGGACGCCTGGGGTGGGCCATCGGGAGGGGCGGGCTGTGACCTGTGCCCTCCTTGCCTCCAGCTCTGTCCTCTGAGAATTACCGGTTTGCAGCGACAGATGCCAGCCCTGGGTGTGCAGCCGCGCCCTGCCCAGCCCTGCCCTGCCCTGCCCTCAGTGTGCAGCTCTGCCCTGCCCAGCCCTGCCCTGCCCAGCCAGTTCTTGGGCAAACACACAGGGCTGTGTGGGCCGCCTTGCCCCCAGCTGCTGGCTCATGGTTGCCTCAGCTCCTGGCTGTGGAGACCACTGGATGGGTGTGACCCGGGGGTCTGCACCGTGTACATCTCAGGCAGGAGGGGTGATGGAGTGAGAGACCCAGAGGATGTGGTTTTGTGCCAAGAAAACAAGCAGTGGCCCCGAGGTCCAGCAGCCCTCTATGCGGACGAGGCCGTGATTCAGGTGCACAGTGCTTCCAGAACAATCCGCGCACACAACTGCACGGCCACTCGGCAGCTCTGGTCCTCGTAAACCCAAACACACGCCCCCTCCCCTGGCCTGCCGCTGGCCTCCCCTGTGGGCTGCAGGGGAGAAGTGGGAGCGGGGTCTTCACCGGGGTGGCACCGGCTGTCCGTGGCGCCTCAATGGTCCAGAACGAGGCACGGGCGGCCCACGCCCCTGCTCACGTCTGCATCCTTGCAGGAGGAGCCTCTCCCGCCCCTCTCCCCTAACAGCCAGATGGAAAACACGCTGGTGACTCTGCAAATGTGAAGGTAGAAGCAGGAAAAACTGCATACAGAGAGATCCAGGGGAAATGGAGCTAGAAGTCTATTCTGGTATAAATCCACGCACAGCTTTTCCGTAATCCATGCTGGCCGTGAGCTTCTTGAAGACCCCCATACGTAGTGACAGATGGGCCGACGCGTGGGTGGGCAGGACAAGCTCTGCTTGTGAGACGAGCGCGGCTCCCTGCGGCAGCTGGTGTGTGGGGTGCACACGGACCCCCTTGGCCCGGAAGCGCTGAGTTCTCGCCGTCTCGTGCACTTTCTCAAAGGCACTGGGCAGAGGGCACTGCCCCGTGTCGGGGTGGGGGCCAGGGTCTGGTGCCCTCTGGGGTGGAGCCAGGGACCAGAAAGACTGGAATCTCACAGGTCCTCTAAGGGGAGTCCTGGCGGGACGTGGCTCCGTCACAACCAGACGTGGAAGGAGGCGGGGGCCTCCAGGGTGTGTGTGTGTGTGAGAATCTCCCGTCCACCCCTGGAAGAGCGTGGACGAAGAGCCCCATGGAGCTGCCGTCACGGAGCTGTGCCGTGGAGTGTCCGTGGTCAGTGCAGTGGGAGGCGGCTGTGGTTTTGGGGAGAAGACAGGAAGAGTAATGCAGGATTCAGAGTCTGGGTGCATGGCAAGGGGTCACTCACTGCAGGGGGGAGGGACACGGGGAAGGCGGGATGGAGGGAAGCGTGGCTCCACGGGACACGCGCCCAGGCCTGTGGCGGGGGCCCCTGGCGTGGAGCCCCCAGCTCAGGGTGGGGAGGTGGTCGTGGGCTGACCCAGGCTCGCCGACCACCTGAGTGACCCTGGGGCTGCCACACAAGACCAGAGATGGCAGGCACAGCACGTTCCGAGTGAGGGCTGCGTTTGCAGAGGGGCGGCCCCGATGCGGCGGGATGCCGGCCTGGGACCACGGGCACCGTCTGTGTGCTCCAAGTCGGCTCCGCGTGGCCAGAGGGCCCCTCGGGACCCTGGGAGGGCGGCGTGCAGCGCGCAGGCCTGGGGCTGCCTCGTGCCTGGCTCCGGTCAGCCCTGACCCTGGGGACGCTGTCTCCCAGGATGCCACTGCTGCCCCGTCTGAGGTGTTGCTTCTGTTTGTGGCCTGGGGCCAGGGCTGTTCCTCATGTGCACATCCAGTGGACAGGGCTGGGGACTCCGAGCCATCCACAGGTGAGCTAGAGAGGGGCGCCGGCCCTGGGCTCCAGGCCAGCTCGCGCCAGCTTACACAAAGCAATGCTGGCATCCGAGGGGTCCTGAACCCTGAGGGAGAACTGTGCACGGAGGCCAGCTGAGCTTCTGAGGTCCCGGCCAGGTGGCCCGACGGCCAGGCCCAGGGCCCTCGGCTCCGTGGGAGGGAGGCCCCTTCGGCTGGGCGGAAGCAGCAGGTGCTGGGAGGTGACCTCAGACCCGAGTCGCAGCTTTGGTCTTTGGTGTCAGGGGAGGCAGGTGTCACTCACAGTCTGGATTCCCCTGGAAACTCTGAATGAGACTGTGTATCGGAGAGCTGTGTTGTCGCTGGATCGCCAGTCACCCTGGCTACCAGACACCCTGCGTCTGGGCGGGCGTCTGCATCCCGGCTGTGGCTGAGGGAACCCCCCCGTCTCTGTCCTCCCGAGAATCGGTACCTGAGAATCGTGGCCTGGACCTGGTCCTCACCCCACGCCCAGGGCCCCACGCCGACTGCCACTGTCCCATCAGCTCGCTGTGTCCGGCTATGCATACCCGGAGGGACTTGGCACTTCCTCTCCTCTCCTGCCCCCAGGACGTCACCCCTCCCCCCACTGTCCGTCAGTGCGGTCACCCTCCCCTGGTTGACTGAGGTGCTCCTGCCCCTTGTCTCAGCGTCCTGCAAATGTGGCAGTGGACAAATCAGCAAGCAGCCATGAGGCCAGCCTCGCCTCACAGCTGTGCCTCTGACCAGGACGTCAGAGCTCGGCTGGGTAGCTGCACCCTTGCCCCTCCCAGCCACGCCGACCTTGTCCCCTCCGCTCCTCTGCTTCCTCACTGTCATGTGGCTGGCACCCGGGTCACCCCACGTGGTGCCGGCTCAGCCGCCACACGGCCTCTCAGCTCGTGCAGCACCAGGGCCAGCTCGTCCCCTCGGGTCTCTGCTCTGCCCCCTGCCGCCGGCTTCCAGACCAGCTACCACCCAGCGCAGCCCTCAGCCCTCAGCCCTCAGCCGGGGATGGGAATGGATGACCCGTCCACCTGGCACGCGTGCTCGGACATCCGTGTCCCCCTGCGGCACACAGCCCCAGGCTCCTGGCCCGTTGGGCTCACTGCCGGCTCGCTCTCTCCCCACGCCCGTCTGTGAGCCAGCCAGCCACCCCCCGCACAACAGACAGCAAGCGTTGGCTGCTGTCCCCTGGTCCTGGCTGCCCCGGCCTTGCCCTGGACTGTGCCGACGCCGCTCCTCCTGCTCAGGGGGTTCCTCCGCGCAGCCGCAGTGGTGCTGGTAAGCATGACTCCTCCTAAAACCCCTTGCAGCTCCCGGCTGTGCTCTGAGC